CTTTGAGACACATGAGGCCTGCTGGGTGACCTTGGGCCAGCCACCGTTCTCTCAGAACTCTCTCAGCCCCACATATATTACAAGGGGCCTGTTGTGGGGATAGGACGGGAAAGGCGATTGTAAGCTACTTTGAGACACATGAGGCCTGCTGGGTGACCTTGGGCCAGTCACCGTTCTCTCAGAACTCTCTCAGCCCCACATACGTTACAAGGTGCCTGCTGTGGGGAGGGGAAGGGAAGGCGATTATAAACCGCTTTGAGACTCCTCAGGGTAGAGAAGACCAGGATATAAAAACCAGCTCTTCTTCTTCTACAGCAGCCTATGACCCTGGCCCGTGTTCTGTTCTTAGGGTTCGAGGGGCTCTTGGGAACACAGCATAGAGAGGCAAAGAGGAGGGGGAAATCATTACTTGCTCCTCTGCTGACGAAACAGCAATCTAGGATCCAACTCAATAACTTTGAAGCTTCACTAAAAATAATCCACTTGGGGAAGAAACATTTTTCCTTCCTGCTCTCTGACCTAGTCATAGTTAGTAATCCTGTTTTTGTGTTGCTGAATGTCAACATGTGCCTTCATCTTCATCTTTAACCCAGTCTTGTGAATGGCCTCTAGTAGTTTGTTTGCCTGCAGTGATTTAAAGAATAAACGTTTCTGGACAATAAACTAAATAAAATAAAATCTGAAGGGTGGGTTATTTCCTTTTCAGGCTGTTCATGGTCCGCAAATGACTTTGTTATGGCAGCAAGGGGGAAATGGTACTTTTCCTCACCGGGAAGCTCCCTTTTTCACCAAGGGTACCCCAGAAAGTACCCTGGCAACCAGCTGCCGCCACTTGGTACCTCCTGAGAACATCTAGACTGACCTGCTGAGAACGTAGTTTTCAGTGCAGTACTAGAACAATAATAAAATACCTTATAACCAAGCCAGTAGTTCCTGTGCAGTCTAGCATGTGAGGAAGAGATTAAGATAAATATCCCAGATAAATGGACTGCATTTAAGTGAAGCAAAAAAAAAAGTATTTATAAAAAGTCTTATTATAAAAGGCAGGGAAAAGAAAAGGAAAGGGGCGGTTGATTCAAAAAGGAATGGAGAAAGGACAAAACAATACAGGGAAAAGCTCACAGCAACAACAGCACAGAGGTATTCAAATGAAAAGCAATAGAGTTGAACTACCTAAGCTAAACACCTTTCTGCTTTAGCAGCTTCCTCAGAGTATGTGCAGAGTTTCTTCTTGTAACAAGAAGCTGAAAGCGTCCTTAACTCCTACCCAACTTCCATAGGACCCAGTTTCCACTGAAGACAAGGGAAAATCCCAAATGTTCAGATATTTGCCCTAAAAGGAGTTGGACCGAAGCCCAGACTCCTTTCTAGGAATGACAGGTGGATTTCTCCAGTCCCATATAAATTCCCATCTTTGATTTCAGAGGCTACTTTTACCAATCGGAGCCATGTACAGTATAGTCCCACCTCCATCAAGCACCTGGTAATGGCTGTGAACTTCCATGACAAATACATGGTCTGGATTGTCCTTTTCCCAAAAGGGATTGATTGATTGATTGGGAATTTTATCCTGCTCTTCCCTGCAAGCGGGCTCAGAGCAGTTTACATCATAGTACACAATAAAAACAATTCCGTAAAAACATCAATATGTTAAGATTAATTCTAACAGAGTTAACATTTAAGAGACCGATTCAAAATACCTGGTGGCGATTCGTTTCGTTCCAGATTAAGTGCCAGAATGGTCCTATGTGGAATGGGAGTGGATGGGTCATTCTAACGGAATCCTGAGTCTTAGCAAGCTTTAGGATTTCTGTCACAGATTTCTATGAGTATATGTAGGAAGAATGGCTACTTTAGTGGGCTAATTAACTCATTGACTTGCCTCACAATCTGTGAATATGGTGGGACTAATGGTACCTTGGAGCTGCGGTGGCTCAAGTGGTTAAGGCGCTGAACTGCAGGCTGTGGAAGGTCAGTAGTTCAGCAGTTTGAGACCCGGGTACCGCGTGACGGAGTGAGCTCCCATCTCTCGTTCCAGCTCCTGCCAACCTAGCAGTTCGAAAGCAAGAAATTGCAAGTAGATAAATAGGTACCACTCCGGTGGGAAGGTAACAGCGTTCCGTGCGCCTTGGTGTTTAGTCATGCCGGCCACATGACCACGGAAACGTCTTCGGACAGCGCTGGCTCTTCGGCTTTGAAACGGAGATGAGCACTGACTTTCTCAAGCCTTACACAATAGGTAGAGAGAGGCTGGGCGGGCTAGTTGCCAGGAAGAGCTAGTTAGAGTCAAGATGCATAAGTAACTGGATGATAAATATAGTTGGGATTGGATTAAAGACGTTGATAAGACCTGTGAATGGCAGCACATTATCATACAAATAAAAGAGTCCGCAAACAGATATGAGAACCTTGGGGTGGAATGGTACATTGTAAGAAACACGTTAAGACGGCAGTTTTGTGATGAGCTGTCCCCTCAATGTTGTAGTTCAGTTCAGTTCAATTTGTTGTCATTAGCCATTGGCCGTTACAAGGTTACAAAACTGTCAGCAATAAAAATACAGGTTATGAACAAGGTATGGGCTAATATCAGAATATACAAAAGTAGAAGAGAAGAAGAAGAAGAAGAGAAGAGATTGGATTTATACCCCGCCCTTCACTTGGAGTCTCAGAGCGGCTTACAAACTTACAAACTCCTTTCCCCTCCCCTCCCCTCCCCACAACAGGCACCCTGTGAGGTGGGTGGGGCTGAGAGAACTCTGACACAAACTGCTCTTTTTCAAGGACAGCTGTGCCAGAGCTTGTGACTGATCCAAGGTCACATCAGCAGGTGCAAGTGGAGGAGTGGGGAATCAAACACGGTTCTCCCAGATTAGAGTCCGCACACTTAACTACTACAAATATACAAAAGTACCGAAAGTCAGTAACAAAATATGACTAACTTAATACAGTAACCTAGATAACCTCCTTTCCGTTGTCACCCTGGAAGGTATATTCTTTGCAGCAAGGGCAAATAATGAAACTTTGTAAGAAACATATGCATCAGTGTCAGATAACACAAATGAGATTTGATCCTTGACTGGGTATACACTGAGACCAGATAAAATGCCTGCTAAAATTTTAGCCCTTGGACTGGAGTACAGTGGGCAAAAGAGGATATAATGAGGTAAGTCCTTGAGTATATGGGTGCCACAAATACATATACTAAAATTGGAGTGATACAGAGAAGAGTAGCATGGCTCAGTGTTGTATAGTTCACTTTATAACATATTTGGTGCCCATGTCGTTCTGTTCCTACCAAGAGTAGCCAAGGATGAGTCCGTGGAGAATGCTCAGTGTAGTATAATGTAAGAGAAGTTGTCCTACGTGTTCTGGAAGGAAGGGGAAAACTTAACACAGAATGGCTGTTTGTGGCTTTCTTGGAACACTCAGATTTACAGTGTAGTCTGTAAATCTGGAAGGGAGGGGAAGGGGGGGGCACACCCTCCTCACTTTGATGGCTGCCTTTATGGGAATTTGTCATCTTCCTACCTCAGTATCTAAAGGTAAAAGGTAAAGGTTTCCCTTGCTCGAAAGCCAGTCAAATCCAACTCTAGGGGATGGTGCTCATTTCCATTTTCAAGCTGAAGAACCAGTGCTGTCTGAAGACGTTTCAGTGGTCATGTGGCCAGCATGACTAAATGCCAAGGCGCATGGAACGCTGTTACCTTCCCACCGAAGCGGTACCTATTTATCTAATTGCAGTTTCTTGCTTTCGAACTGCTAGGTTGGCAGGAGCTGGGGTCAGAGATGGGAGCTCACTCCGTCACACGGGTCTCGAACTGCCGAGCTACCAACCTTCTGGTCTGCAGCTCAGCGTCTTAACCTCTGAGCCACCACAGCCCCAACCATCACTATCTACCCTTCTACAAAATCTAGAGAAAATGGAACTCGAACACTGAAATCTACCTCCAAGGAGTCCACAGTTTCAATTTAGAACCAAGATACCTTTGTAAATATAATGAATTGGATCTTGCTAGCTTTTTTTTTTACTGTCTCACCCATTTCCTGTCCTTATTGGCATCCCTGTCCTGCATCGCTTTTGTCCGTGCAGGCCCCATGATTCCTAGCAAAGCCTTTTTTGGTGGTCAAAGGGGACACCCTCCTCCCTTCTTCATCAGTGGAAAAACTAACCCAGTTTCTCATAACGGAACTACTTTTGGTACTTATCTGTGTAACTTATGCAAAGGGGGAATGACCACAGAAGGGTGCAAAGTTGAGTTTGGGTAGAAGAAATTTGAGTTCAAACATCGACCTCAAGCCAGTCGGTGTCTTCCAGCTGACCTTTCCAAGCCTGCTTGCCATGAGGATAAAACACCTCTCTGTCTCTGCTCCTTGGAGCAAGTGTGAGACATTTAACAAAAAATAAAATAAGGGTGCCTGCAGGCAAAGCTAGAAAAACAGCAGGAGGAACTACAGGGTAGCAAGAGCTGAGTATGAAGTCGTGGATTCCTTGTTGGGGTGGTAAAATTCCGAACACACGTCTCTTAGCGGTGTTGAAATAATATAACTCCTTGCCCTTCTTCAGAGCAGTGCTATAGTATTTTACACTGTGCCTTCCATGAAGATCGTTTTGGAGGGTAGCCGTGTCGATCTTCAGTAGAACAGCTGGATTCGAGTCCAGTAGTACCTTAGAGTCCAACCAGATTTTGGGGGTATGAGTGTCTGACCACAGGGAGTCTTGACTCTCGGAAACCCATATCCTGAAATCTTGTTGATCTCTAAAATGCTACTGGGCTTGAATCTAGCTGTGTGCTGTGTCTGTATCTGCTACCCGATAATGCCGGAAGCACTGTTTGGATCCATGTTGCAGACACCTCAGGTTGGCGAGAATGCATTTCTAAATCAGACATTCTTTTGCTTCAGGATCTTGTCCTCTTGGTCCAGAAGAGTTGTTGAGGTCTGGATGGTGTCTCGTGCGGTCACCGGAACGAGTGGACGAGGTGTTGAGTGTGCGTCTCCAATCTCCTTGGGGTCCATGAGATGGCCACAGATGACAAGCCATCTCCGACCCCAGACGAGACAAGCGAGGTGCCCTCCTCCCCTCGTGGTAGCCCTTCCCACCTTACACACTTCAAGCCTTTGACTCCCGACCAAGATGAGCCTGCGTTTAAATCTGCCTACAGTTCTTTCGTGAATCTCTTCCGTTTCTCTAAAGGTAAGCTCCAAACGCAGTTTTGTTTTCAGCTTTTGTGTCTGTTCAGCGGCGTGCTGGGGGCGGGGATGGGGGCTGAAATGTGTCTCACAGGCTCTCTTGGGCCTGTGAATATCCCCTCATTCATTGGACTAGAGCCTGCATGGCTTTAATAACAAGGACTGCCTATGTGAGGCGCCATGAAGTTCTTCTTTACTCAACACGTGATTCGAATGTGAAATTCACTGCTAGGGGATGTAGTGATAGCTACAAGCATAGATGGCTTTAAAAAGAGATCAGATTAGGTTCCCGGTGGATAGGTCCATCAGTGACTACTAGCCATGGTGACTAAAGGGAACCTCCACATTCAGAGGCAGTAAAACCCTGCATACCAGTGCTGGGAGGTAACATCAGGGGGAGGCCTCAGCCTATATGCTACACCTTGTTTGTTGGCTCTCCAGAGTAACTGGTTGGCCTGTGTTTGCTGGACGGGATGCTGGACTAGATGGACCACTGGTTGGATCCAGCAGGGTTCTTCTTTCATTGTTATAGAAAGTTTTTGGCTGGCAAAATGTCAGGGGAAGGCCTCAGCCTCTATGCCCTGTTTTGTTGGCCCTCCAGAGTAACTGGTTGGCCTGTGTGTGAGACAGGATGCTGGACTAGATGGACCACTGTTTGGATCCAGCAGGGTTCTTCTTTCATTGTTATAGAAAGTTTTTGGCTGGCAAAATGTCAGGGGAAGGCCTCAGCCTCTATGCCCTGTTTGTTGGCCCTCCAGAGTAACTGGTTGGCCTGTGTGTGAGACAGGATGCTGGACTAGATGGACCACTGGTCTGATCTAGCAGGGCTCTTCTTATGTTCTTATGAAGCCCTCGGCCTTTATGCCCTGTTGTTGTCCCTCCAGAGGAACTGGTTGGCCACTGTGTGAGGCAGGATGCTGGACTAGATGGACCACTGGTCTGTTACATCATGGTTTTTCTTATGAGATGGGCCCAAGACTTGATAGCAAAAGTTGGGGGGCTACTTACAACGACAGTGGTATCTGCACCAGAAGTCTGTACTAGTTTTTAGACAGCATATTGTTGCAGATAACCAGAGCCCTGCGTAGAGGGGATTGTACCTGCTGGTACCAGTGTTCCCTCTAAGCTGAGTTAGTGTGAACTAGCTCACAGTTTTTTAGCCTCACACATTTTTGTCTTAGCTCAGAAGGAATGGCTCCAGAGTAAACTAATTTATGCAGTAGCCAAACTATCTGCCTGCTCACAACTTTAATGCTGGTAGCTCACAAAGTAGAATTTTTGCTCACAGGACTCAATAGCTTAAAGGGAGCATTGGCTGGTACTATCTATGACTTCCACAAGTACGTGGATAAGGGCTCCATTTTTTTTTCAGGGAGCAGACTGTATTGGGTGCATGTGTGTGGGATCCTTTGCAAATGGTACGTTGAATATCAGCAGACATAACAGCATTATCTTTTCTTCTCCACCCCACCCTACCCTATCAGCAGGACTCTGGTCTTTGCTAAATGCTTTCCAGGCTGTCCAGTTGGTATGGCTAACCAACCGGAACATACAAAGCGGAAGTGAAGGCTGTGGTGGTCATCGCTGTCCTCTATCAGATGAGAAGAGTAGATCAAAGGAAGAATTGTGGGGTCATGGAGGCAGAGTGCCTTTGAGAAGTATCTGGCCCTCAGCTCCCTGTAATAACAGTTGGATTAAGAAGGAGAATGCCTGGCTCATGCAATGCCTGGCATGCATTTGTTAATCTGGGCAAAAGCCAACCTTTGTCCCCTTCCGGTCAAGAGAGACTCAGCACTGGATTGACAGCGCTTGTAGACGAGGCTGTGTTTCCTTAGCAGCTAAGAGTTCATGTGTTGCTGCTTTGAAAGCTGGTATTTTTAACTGGCAGGTACTGAGGAAGCAAAGCGAGAACTCAGAAGGTGCCAAATAGGGGTGTGCATTCGGCTTTACCGAACGGGAAAAAAAGACCTTATTTTTCGGTAATTTTAAAGCCGAATGCAAATTCAGAAAACTTTGCGGCTGCCGAATACAGTTTCCCGAATTTATTTGGTTTTTTTTTTCCAGTTTTTGGGTAGCGGAATACCAACATCCCTTCTCCTGTGGCTTCCCTGGTCAATTAAACTCCCTGCCAGTCAGCTGTGGGAGTGAAACTGACTAGGGAAAGCCTCCCCCAGGGCTGCTGGAGAAGCACCGGCAAAGAGCTTAGCCACATTTAAATGTGTTTCTTTCCCTCTCCCAGTTCGGGGAGGGAAAGAAAGACATTTAAACATGCCTGGGTTCCCTGCCGGCCCTTCTCCAGGGGCCCCATGGCTGCGGGGCAACTGGAGAGGGACAGGCAAGGAGCCCAGACATGAAAACCCGCCTGCCACTCTCTCAGCCCTGGGGCAGGCATGAAAACATGCCTCCCCCACTCCCTGAGCCACTCTGCTGCAGCGGAGAAGCTCAGAGAGGGAAGGGGGAAAAAAGAAGGCAGGTTTAAACCTGCCGTCATTCCCCCCTCCCCCCAGCTTCTCTGCGGTAGTGGAGAGGTTCAGGGAGGGAAGGAGGCACGTTTCCATGCCTGCCCTTGGCTTCCCCAGCAAACCCCTTGGCTTCCCCAGCGAAGGGGGGGGGGGTTGGCTAGGGAAGCCAAGGGCAGGCATGGAAACATGCCTGGGCTCCCCGCCTTCCCTTCTCCAGCTACCCCCGGTCAGCTAGAGAAGGGAAGGCAGAGAGAGGGGGCTTTGCCTTGTCAGTTTCGCTCTCCCTGGCCAGTCTGTTGTTAGGTTTAAATGGCTTAGACCCAACAGCTGACTGGCCGGGAGTGAAATTGACAAGGAAAACTGGACCATCTTCCAGAGGGAAAGAAGGCATTTTTACATGCCTCCCTTCCCTCTTGTTGGGTATATCAGACCCAAATATATATTCGGCAATACCGAGTATTTCCCCAGTCCTGATACTTTACTGGTATTGGACTGGGGATATTCGGCATTTACTGATATTTTTTGGGTCTGATATACCCAAAGCTGAAAAATACTGACTTTTTTTTTTTTTTGCACACCCCTGGTCATATTATGCTCTAGAGTGTATCTTGTGGGTCATGTTCCCCCAGACACCTGACTTGGCAGTTGTAAGTTTGTCTGAAAATTCTCTTCCTGCCTAAAGGACTGAATCAAGATTTGAGTGTTATGAATTCAATTTTGAAATGCAACCACTGTTGTGCCCTAAATAGTAGAAAGCCAGCTTTTCTAGGTACAGCTGCCTAACTTCAGTCTCCTATGGTTCTGAAAGGTCTAGGCTGGCCCCCTTAAGAGATCCTGGTGCCTGAAATGGAAGACCTGAACTACTTCTTCTGGTCTTGTGGTGCAGTTTCTAACGGAGGTTTAACTGGGCAAGGAAGGAGAATACAGAGTCACCATGTGGTGCATTATCTGCTTCTAGGTGGCTAGATGGCCTTCTGACAGCAATGCTGATTCTGTGAATTTAGGCAGATCATGAGAGGGAGGGCAGGCAGGGTTGTGTCAGAGTTTAGTTCTCATGGCCCATTCTTACAATCCCAGGGAAATGCTGATTGCCACTTCGGGGCCATGAAGCAATTTTTCTCCAGGCCAGTTTGCCCGGGGATCCTGGAGGGGTTTTTTTGGTCATCTTCTGGGCCTGGAACAGCGGTCACTGGGTGTGTGGAAGGGGAGGTATTTGTGAATTTCCTGCATTGTGCAGGGGGTTGGACTAGATGACCCTGGAGGTCCCTTCCAACTCTGCGATCCTCTGATTCTGTATGATTCTCTCAGTTGACATTTAAACTAATGGCTGGCGATGACAGCTGAGATAGGCGTGAGAAAGAGAGACCCCCTCCCCCGTTCTGGGCTTTTTACTTCATTGCTCAGTGTGAAAAGTGTTTTGTCTTGCTAATAGGTGGAGGATAAATTCAGGTGGGGTAGCCGTGTTAGTCTGAAGCAGCAGAGCAAAGTTTTGAGTCCAGTGGCACCTTTAAGTTTTATTCAAGGTGTAAAGCTTTCATGTGCATGCACATGTCTTCAGACAAATTGGAATAAAATCTCAAGGGCTACTTACAGGAAAAAAGAGAGTTGGTGGGGGGGCAGCCATTAGGAGGTGCCTCTCTGATCCAAGATGCATATACAAAGCTGAAATTGAGTCAGATGAGAGTAATTAAGGCCAGTCTGAAGATTTTCTTTGTGTTGGACAAATGAGCATGTGCATGTCTATGATCAGTCTAGTTAAATTAGCATTTATTTTTGAGTAAACATGCAGGGGAACAGGCTGCCGAGTAGTTCTCTCTCTAGATCCAAGGATTCCCTGATGATGGAGAACCAGTGTGGGTATGGTGGTTAATGTTGGACTAGAATCTAGGAGACCCAGGTTCGAATCCCCACTGTGCCAGGGAAGGCTGCTGGGTGACCTTGGGCCACTCATATGCTCTCAGCCTGACCTACCTCATAGAGTTGTCGTGAGGATAAAAGGGAGGAGAGAAGAATGATGTAAGCCACTTTGGGTTCCCATCTGAGGGGAAGGTGCGGTATAAATTAAGTAAATAAATGCTGTGGGGAATCTAGTCCTAGTAAAGAGCAAGAAAGGCTCTTAAGAACATCAGAAGAGCCCTGCCGGATCAGACCAGTGGTCCATCTAGTCCTCCATCCTGTCTCACACAGTGGCCAACCAGTTCCTCAGGGCCAACAACAGGGCAGAGAGGCCGAGGCCTTCCCCTGATGTGGCCTCCTGGCTCTGGGATTCAGAGGATTAATGCCTCTGCGTGTGGAGGTTCCCTTCATTCACCATGGCTAGTAGCCATTGATAGACTTTTCCTCCTTGAATCGGTCTAATCCCCTTTCCAAGCTGCTTATTCCTGTGGCCCTCACTACATCCTCTGGCAGCGAATTCTGCCTTTTAGTCACTCTCTGTGTAAAGTAGTATTTCCTTTTGTCCGTCCTGAACCTACTGCCCATCAGCTTCATTGGATGCCCTTGAGTTCTAGTATTCTGGGAGAGGGAGAAAACGTTATCTTCTTCTTCCCCATAAGAAGGCTTCCTAAAGAAAGGTTTGGCAAGCTCATTGCAAGATGGAGGTTACCGGGGGAAATGGCCTTCAAGGAGCTGCATTTCTACTGTGGGTGTAATAGTTAACACGGCTAGTGAAATTGTTTGAAAGCATTTGTCGTAGACAGCTGCTAGGTTAATTTAGCACTGCTGACAATGTCATATGTTGGGTGCAAAGACAACCAGTCTTCCCCTCAAAAGTGCCCCCCCCCGTAATCTATTCTGCAGTCATTAACCCCCCCCCCAAAAAAAAAAACACGATTTAAAAATTACAGTCTGAATCTGGAGTCCATATGAAAGCTACGTAGAGAATAAGCTTTCTTAGTTTTAAAATGTTTAAGGACTTCTCCTCTGGGTTCATTCACGTTATGGAGCTTGAGAAGCTGCTGGTTATTCTATGTCATTACTGTAGTTCCATTTGTTTACGTGACCAGCCTGTCCTCAGAGTGGTTAGTAGGGAATATGAGGACAGTTCAGCCCAGTGTTTGTGTGCTGGCTATGAATGGCACGTCTTTGCCGGTGGGGAGTTGTGGTACAGTTTACACTCCCCCACCCCACCCCGAGGCCAAGTACACAGGTGAAGAAAGAAGGCTTTCTTCCTTTTACTTCTCCCCGTCTTAAATCTGCATCTTGACTCCACGAACCGTAGAACGGCTCCTTTGAGAGGAGCGAAAGCCGTTCAGTCGGGTTTCGGTGCGTCCACGTTTGCGAACTTTGGTTGTGCCACACTAACGTCCACTCTGTATTTCCTAGATGATGGCCGACTTGCTCCCTCGGCAGAGAGAGCCGAAACGGGGCAGGGGGAACAGCCACCTCTGAATGCAAGCTGGCCAAGTCCGCAGCACTGTCTGAGGGGTCAGTCCCTACAATCACCGGTGCCTTACAAAAAGACAATTGCAGGGGAGCTGCAGAGAAGGTCTTCTACGTCGCTAGGTAAGAGATCTGCACCTTAAAAATGGTAGCATCTGTGGCTTACCCGTTGTGGAGTCAAAAAACTTTTCAAATTGAATTATAAAAATAAAAAATAAATAAAAAATAAAGATGGCTTCAAGGAGGTCTGTGCATTAAAGAAAAAGGTTATTCAGCAGTAGAGTCCCAGTTTCCTGTGGCTGGAATACACTATGTAAATTACAAAGGCTCACAGTGTAGTGTAGCCAGAAATTATATAATGTATATGTAATGTAATATATAAATATAAGTTCAACAAAAAAGGAACATATCTTGTCAGTGTCGTAAATCAGCTGCAACCTTAAAACCTGTCCATTCATTCACAGAAAGTTAACAAACACTGACACCAGCCTAGCATCTGTAATCTATAGTCTATAGGGAGTGGTTTGTTTTTTGTTGAATTTGTTGAATGAGTATATATACACACACACACTCATTATTGATATTAATACAGTTTACAATTGCAGTCCACTCAATTAGTGTGCGTTACATAATTTCTGGCTGGAATAAACTAAACAAGAGGGAAAGTGTGTATATGTTTCCTTCTGCTTTATTGTCTTAGTTGCATGGGATTTCTGGTATTGCATCAAACTGTAGGAAGGTGGGTTTTGGAAATGAGGAAACCAGGAAGGGAAATAAGTCCATGGACTGTGGTCTATGGCACTGGAAATGTACTGGTTGAAGAGGCCTTATCTCAACTGTCCTGTCTCACCTGCCCACAAAGATAGATTCAGGTGGGTCGTTGTGTTGGTCTGAAGCAACAGAACAAAGTTTGAGTCCAGTGTCACCTTTAAGACCAGCAAAGTTTAATCCTGGGTTTAAGCTTTCATGTGCAAGCACACCTGAAGACCTGAAGAAATGTGCATGCACACGAAAGCTTATACCCAGAATTGTTGGTCTTAAAGGTGCCACTGGACTCAAACTTTGCCCACAAAGGCTTAGTTTTTTTCCTTTACCTTTCTAAAGAAAGGAAAGAAAAATGCCATGAAATCTAGGTTTAGAAATAGAAGCTAGTATTCCCAGGTAGCTGCAGGGGGGTGCTGGTTTTGAATGCAGAATTTCCATATAAGTCAGAAGATCCATTTATGAATGCTGAACTGGAGCAGGAATCTTCCTGGGAACTCTTTTCTGCTCTAATGCAAGAAGAAATCTTGGCATCTGATGTTCCAAAGTCGCATAGCGGGACAGTGTCCTAACCGAGAGAAAACTGAAGAGATGTTCTGAAAAGATGCTTGGATTCCACAAAGGGATATATCCCGTGCTCTGTTGAACAGTATTTGCTTTATTAGGAGCTCTAACCTGTTTTCACTGTGAACACAGTGAAAGGCACTGTGAATGCCTTTACACCCTCCGTGCAAAGACATTAGCGACTCCTTCAGTGTTACTGTCTGTTGGCTGGCTAGTCTTCCAAGCAAATCTAATCGAAGAAACTAAGGATCAGTAACTGGGTTTTAGGACGGCCAGCTAATGCTTCAGTATTTTGAGGTGTCAGCTCTAGATACATAGAATAGTGGTGGACAGTTCTGTCATGTCGCAGCTGACATGGCTAGCCTGTAGTATTTTCAAGCACTGTAAACAAAATTATACTGAAAACAGACCATCAAATGTTATATAGCTCTCTATTAAACACTTTCCAACAGGCATTATACAAGACAACAACTTCCATCACATATCATGTAGAAACATTCAGTGCATTCATATAAATTTATACACACTTGAGCAACATCCATGGTCAAGGAATATACGTTAAGCTAAAAGTTTCCTACGCTCAATGCAACAAATAAGATAGCGCTGGAACTACAACGTTTGTTACCAAATGCTCAAAGAAGTGACTTCCCTTTTTCTGAACCGGAGAAGAAGATCTCTTCTAAACTGCTTCCATCCGTTAGATGTATGGATGAAACAGGGAATAGTTCCAAAGACTGATGTACGAAAACAGCAGGAACACTTCCACTGACTGATTTACAAAACGGCCGGACGCACCCCTCCGGATTGAAGGTGGTTTTGTTTAATGACTTCTTCAACTTGCTTCCAACAGTGAGTATACTTCCAACAATTCTTGCTTGAAACCCAACGTGAATGAGCAAAACTTCAATAATGCGGACCCAGCCTGCCAGTGTTCAAAAAGTTATTCTCACAAAGGTGAGAGGTGAACAGAAGTAGTTTGCTGTTGCTAGCCTCTGCATTCCAAACCTGGACTTCCTTGGCGGTCTTCCATCCAAGTACTGATTAGGGCTGACCTGGCTTAGCTTCCAAGGTCTGTCAAGAGCGGGCTAGCCCGGGGTATCCAGGTCAGGGCAATACATGGATTTCCCAGTGAGAATAATGGAAACCCCAGTTGCTGTGTGTGACAGATTGCCACCAGGGGGCACTCCTGTTGCTTTGGTTTCCATTCCCAAACTGGTCACACCAAGAATGAACCAATACACATCATTCTCTGTCTGGTTACATCTGGTTCTGGCCTCAAGAATCAAAATTCTTAGAACATTAAACAGGGGGAAAACGTGCACTTCTCCCACCCCCGTGCAGTTCAGAGAGGCTTCTTAGAGTCTGCCGAGTTCTCCTACACTTCCCTGGGCTCGAACGCACCAGTCTTGAAATGCCTCGAGGGTTCCTCCACCCTACTGGTACTTCTGACGGGTTTTGTCTCTAGTCTGTCTCCTAATAGAACCCTGGAAGCTCAGGAGGATGCATAAATGTGTGTATGTGTTGTGTTATTGCCAGTACAAACACAAACTTTACAGGCTGTGCTAGGCAGCCACTTTGAAAGTGCAGTGCCTTTTTGGGCAACGGCTACAGTTCAGGGCATGCAGGAAAAGAAACCAAAGTAACAAAGAAGGTGGGCGGAAGCTGGGACCGGCAGGGTTTTGCCAAGAAAGGGGTGACAGATGGACAGCATGAATAATAAGGCTAAGTTGCAGAAGAAGAGTCATTGGTGGGATTCAGGTCTGAGATCTGGGTGTGTCACTGTACCAAGAGCAGTCAGTGAAAGAAGCATCTGAAAATGCCTCCCTGGTACCATAACTCAGGTAGGCTGGTGTTGCCGAGGAATAAACCCCTTCTGTTGCAGTTGTGGCCTTTTCAAGAAATTTAGCAATCTGCTGTCTCAAGTATATATTTAAATATAGCACTTCATTCAGCAGGTGGGTCCCTGCAAAAGAATCCGTCCATATGTCAAGAAGGGGGAAGGCTGGCTACCAAACCTCTTTCCTAACACATTAATTCTGCATGTGCGAAGAATTGTTCACTGATAAATCCACTTGCAATGTGAAGTGGTGCAGCTCAGTGAAAAATAGGTGGTGAAGAACTGGCTAGTGGTGAGAAATGCATCTCTTAGCTGCTGCGTATTGGTAGTCTGGCAGTCGATTGTTGCGTTCAGTGCTTAGTCTGTTCTGCCAGGAGAATGGGAAAGGAGGGGATAAATTGCAAAAGAATACCCCACATCTCTGCCCCCTATACAATGTGCTCTCCTTCTGCTACCATAACAAGACTCTGAAATATTCCAGACAAGTTATGAAGTTGGTGGTCTTCTTTCTGCATACCTGCCTGCTGAGTGTCTCTGTACTGTTGCCTTTCTTGATTTTTTAAAGCAGACTTTCATTAGGTTCTCGAAGTTTGGGCCCTTGCACTGTTAGCTTTGGACACTGTGTGCGTTCCTTTGGGCCGGTGGTTCATTTCGTGGTGAGGAGTTGCATCACCGTGACACTGTGGTGAGTTGGTGTTTACTCCCACCCTGCCACCCCGCACTGGAAACCTGAGCACTGCACCAAATAGCAGAGTTAGCAATTCAAATATTAACAAAAATTGCTATTGGAGTATGAGCCAGGAAGGGCGGGAATGAGAAAACGGGGCTGCTATAGCGGTTTGTGGATCTTTTGCACTTTGTGGAGGACCAGACACCTTGCAAAAGCTAGATTTTCTATCCTCCTCCATTCCCCTAACCACTTCATCAGCTACTCACAAGAATGCATATTGCTTTCTAAAACCTTCTTTAGGAAAAACGGCCCAAATGACCATAATTCAATTAGAAGAGGCAATCAGATTTTACAGATGTATCTATTTATGCTTAACTTTTACATGGGGAATCAAATTAGAAAAGTACCTCCCGTCATCTTGTGATATACATTTGTTGCTCTTTCTAAAAAGAGCTCTCTAATCTCATTAACGGGCTTAATGATACGTTCAGACTGAAGCTTGGTGTGTTTTTGGAGGAGACACAAGGCAACACAAGGCCTCGAAGAGTGTAGGAAAGGATTTGGAACACATAAATCATAAAAAGAAAAGCTGGAAGGGCCGTGGAGGTGTCAGCATGGTTTAATGGTTAGACTGCTGGACTGGGTTGACCTGAGTTCAAATCCTAGCACAGCTGTGAAACTTACTGGATGACCTTGGGTCAGCTGCCGTCTCTTGGCCTAACCTGTTCCATAGGTACCTTGCAGGTGTGTGGAGAGGCGAAAATGAGAGAACTGGGTGCACCTCCCTAAACTCCTTGCAGAAGAGCTGGATAAAGACGCAGTCAATGGCGAACAAATTGTAGCAGTGTGTCTAAAGTTATCTTGAGCCTCAAATGCTGAGTGTGCAGAAAATCCATTGAAGCAACCCCAAGAGAGAACATGACTTGAAGTACAGCACAGCAATTCTTTTCCCAAGTGCCTCTGAAAAACTTAATGTCACAGTTTCCCCCCAAACTGGAAGTTGGCAGATGCAGTATGAGAAAGATTAAGGATTTTATTGTGCCACCGAAAAATCCCTGTTAAGTCACAAAGATTTTAAAGGAAATTAACAGTGCTGTCCTAACTAACTAGAGAGCCAGTTTGGTGTAACTAACTAAAGAACCAGTTTGGTGTAGTGGTTAGGAGCGCGGACTCTAATCTGGGAGAACTGGGCTTGATTCCCCACTCCTCCACATGCAGCTGTGGATGTGACCTTGGGTCAGTCACAAGCTCTTTCAGAGCTGTTCTCTCAGGAGCCGTCCTCAAAAGAGCTCTCTCAGCCCCACCTATTCGGTGTGTGGAGAGGCGAAAATGAGAGAACTGGGTGCACCTCCCTAAACTCCTTGCAGAAGAGCTGGATAAAGACGCAGTCAATGGCGAACAAATTGTAGCAGTGTGTCTAAAGTTATCTTGAGCCTCAAATGCTGAGTGTGCAGAAAATCCATTGAAGCAACCCCAAGAGAGAACATGACTTGAAGTACAGCACAGCAATTCTTTTCCCAAGTGCCTCTGAAAAACTTAATGTCACAGTTTCCCCCCAAACTGGAAGTTGGCAGATGCAGTATGAGAAAGATTAAGGATTTTATTGTGCCACCGAAAAATCCCTGTTAAGTCACAAAGATTTTAAAGGAAATTAACAGTGCTGTCCTAACTAACTAGAGAGCCAGTTTGGTGTAACTAACTAAAGAACCAGTTTGGTGTAGTGGTTAGGAGCGCGGACTCTAATCTGGGAGAACTGGGCTTGATTCCCCACTCCTCCACATGCAGCTGTGGATGTGACCTTGGGTCAGTCACAAGCTCTTTCAGAGCTGTTCTCTCAGGAGCCGTCCTCAAAAGAGCTCTCTCAGCCCCACCTATTCCAGACTTTTTGTGGGGAGGGGAAGGGAAAGGCGATTTTAAGCCTCTCTGACTCCTCCAGGTAGTGAAGGGCGGGGTATAAATCCAATCTCCTCTTCTTCTAACTTATGACATTCTAAGCCTGTTGACTCCAGTGCACTTTGAAAGATACTGTCCTGCTTAGGACTTCATTGTAAACAGCCAGGCTCCTTAACTCTGGTGGCTTCCCAGTGAGCGGGGGAGAGAATTTAAGCCTCGAAAAGCAAACGGTTTCTCATCCTTCCAAAGTCCGGCCCTTGCACAGCGACAGTTAACTTGCCTGCATTTGTTCTTTTTTTCTCTTCTTTTGTTTTTGTTGGGCTGCTTTCATTCTTGCTGACACCAGCGCTGTAGAAAGCAGTTCGTACAAAGAAGCCATGTTTTGTTCCCTCTTATACAAGAGAGAGCAAAACAAAATGCGTGTCCGATGGAGAATGGCGCAGCTGGTAAGAAACTCTGAGCTGTAGAGAAGGCAACCCTTTCCTAAAAAAGAATATTTGAAGGAGAAAGGAGAGTAAACTTTGGGTAGCTGTTTCTCAGATTGTAAGGCTGTTAAGCGAACCCAACAGTAACCATATGACATTTGGGCGAGTGAATCCCAGGCGTTTTCGTATCTGCTATGGTTAGCTGAAGTTGTTTTACTGGTTGGCTTTAAGCTTAATTTAGTATTTCCCCCATCGTATTTGTTTTTTGCGTGCCGTCACTAGAATATTAAACGGCACGTTTGAAATACGGTCACTTTTGTTGCTAAAGTAGACTTTTAGCGAAGGCATGAAAGGTTACCTCAAGGGAAACTGTCTATCTTCTTGCTTTAGATCGCTGCCTTGAGTCTGAGGAGATAAGGGTAGGGTAGAAATGTTTTAAACGATAAATAAGATGGACAAATGTTTGCTGAATGCTCAGCTCTTCCCTCCTTTCAGGCTTCTTTTCACTCAGCGTTTTGCTTGTAGCCAAAAATCTATTCAGGCCTTTGGCCGCCTTTCTGTTTGTGCTTTCAGCTGGGTTCATGGTTGCTGGGAGAACCTGGAAGTTTTAAGTTTCTTTGATGGATACGTATCCCATGGACCCCGTGTCACTGGGTTATTTGCCGTTTCCCTTTCCCTCGTCAGGCACAATGTATTTGGGAGTCATTTTCAGAATGTGGACTGTTTTATTTTACTCCCCCCTCCCCCCCCGCCCCGATAGCTCTTGTCTGTCAGCTGCAACCTCCCCATCGGATTCAGAGTTGTCCTTTCTCATATAAAGAGTGGCTTGTATCCATTGGGGTGTTTTTGGGAGGGTTTATTTTGGACTGCAGCAAGAGGGCGAGCAAAAAAGTTACGTTCTGTGGGTGGAAAGCCTTCTGTCTGTGGAAGAACTCCAGTGAATTCAAGCCAGCGTGTTTTCAAAAACTGATAACCCATAAATTGCGGCTGGCGCAGGGCTGGGATTTGATCAGCCCTAAGGTTCGCACCTCTGGAGAAGACCCTGATGCTGGGAAAGATGGAAGGTCAAAGAAGACGGGGACGGCAAAGGATGAGATGGTTAGACAGTGTCATAGATGCAACGAACATGAAATTGAGCCAACTTCAGAGGACGGCGGAAGACAGGAAGGCCTGGCGGGATCTGGTCCATGGGGTCGCAAAGAGTCGGACTCGACTGTGCGACTGAACCAACAACAAAGGTTCGCAGACCTGAATGTCGATCAGGTAACTCAGGGCGGCTGAACTCCCCTTAATGTTGGTGAGGTCTTCTTACTGATAGTGGTCGTTTTGTATTTCCTGAGCACAGGTATCTTATTGATGCTCCTCACCTCTCTCAGAATTTAATTTTAAGTTTCAGTGAAATTGAAGGAAGTGGGTTTGTTTGTGTGTGTCTGTGTGTATTCCATTCACATATTTGTACAAAATGCTTTAGTCTTTGAGGGTGGGGATAGCTCTTTTCCATAAGGTACTATTAATTGGACTCGGTGTACACTTTCACTTTACTGCACTCTGAATACATTGAGAAACAGTCCCTTAAGAGAGGGTTGTCGAACTCATTTGTTATAAGGACCAGATCTTACATAAATGGGACTTTGTCAGGCCGGGCCATGTTTATCATAAAATGTAATATCAGGTAATGGAGATAAAAGGACGTAGACAAACACAAAGATGCAGTGCAGCACTGGGCTAATGTCCCTGCACTGCCTGGAGTGGGGAGCAAACCCTTTCCTTAGCCCCCTGTCATGGCCAATACTCTGAGCCTAGGACCCAGGGGAAAACATGAAATGGCTGGGCATTGCAAGCTCTCCTCCCCAGGTCTACTCAGAGTGGCAGTGACTCTCCAGGGTCTCAGGTTGAAGTCTTTCTCATAATAAGCCACAATCTGGTCTTTTTAACTGGAGGTGCCAGGGGTAGACCCAACCTGGTTCCTTAGCTCAACCAACGCAAGAGAAGAGCCTCCACCAGGAAGCACAGTGTTTGAAACCAAGCTCCCTCCCCCTCAGGCAGCAAACTTCAGCAAATAACTCTAGCAGACCCACATGGGCACAGGAGAAGCCAACGAAGATGAGGGAAGTTCAACAGCCCCACCCTCTGCTCTCCGCACTCAGAGGCAGCAGCTTGGAAGGGTGAGGGCAGGCAGGGGCAAGGACAGGGAGGGGGGAGGGAAGAGAGCCGCAGGTTTGATTAAAGCTCTGGGTGGGCCGGTTCCAGCCCACGGGCTGTATGTTTGACACCCCTGCCTTAAGGTAATTAGGGCCGTGTTCTGGAATTATTTATTTTTTTAGTGTTCTTGTTGAAGACAGTGACACTCAACAGAATCATGGTTTGTGACTGAACCCGAAGGCCTTATCTCTAAGTGTGCTTCCTTAGAAGTAAATCCTCTTGAAATCTATCTGTCTGGATTTTTCAGTTTTGCAGTTCTGTGCTATCAAATCTACCTTGTTCTGGGAAACACTTACTTTGACAGGGGCCTCTTCCCAGAATAACTAGAGAGTGCCCTTTCTTGACAAGAAGGAAGCTTGGCTCTAGAGTGGGCTTGCTGATTTAAATCATGCTTTGAAAACCCCTTTTTTCACTGTTTGCTTTGAACTTAAAAAGGAGCTAAAGTAGTGTGTGTGTGTGTTCTTAGGAAAAAACCACCTCTTTGTAAGAGGTAGCCGAGAGGAATTTATGTGTCAAATGGCAACGTTTCGGTTTCAGACAGTCGAAGAAAAGAACCACCCCTCGGCGGTCATGATCCTCGGACAGCTGTTCAGCTCAGAAGCCTCACTACAGTCTTGAAACGGCTCAAAGAAATCATGGAAGGAAAAAGCCAGGTACTGCATTACACATGTTTTCATGCAATGGGGATGGTCCAAGGATGCTGTATAACAGTGTTTCCCAACTTGTGGGTCGGGACCCAAATGTGGGTCATAGAGCCTCTGAAAGTGGGTTGCGGGCCAGCCCTCCCAAATGACTGTCCCTGCCCTTTCCAGTTTGGTGTAGTGCTTAGGAGCGCAGACTCTAATCTGGGAGAACCAGGTTTGATTCCCCACTCCCCCACATGCAGCTGCTGGTGGGACCTTGGGTCAGTCATAAGTTTCTTTCAGATCTGTTCTCTCAGGAGCAGTTCTCAAGAGAGCTCTCTCAGCCCCACCTACCTCATAGGGTGTCTGTTGTGGGGAGGAGAAGGGAAAGGAGATTGTAAGCCTCTCTGAGACTCCTTTGGGTAGTGAAGGGCGGGGTATAAATCCAATCTCTTCCTCTTCTTCTTCCATTGCTCTGTTTTGTATTTTGGAAACCAAGATCTGACCCTGGAAACAGTGCCTTCCATTTCATCTATTTGTTATTTTTTTTCTTTACTGCCTGCACATTCTGTCTATTTATCGCTCATCTATCTAGTACTGCTCATAGAGCTTATCGCCTTAAGCAGAAATTAGAACAGAAATTAAAATAAAAAGACCTTACTTAGTATTCTTTCCCTGATATTTAATTATGGCGCCTATACATTTTGCCACTGAAAGGGTGACAAGATCGTTTGTATCTGATAATAGCCATGTCCCCTCTGGGCTCTCGGATTAAGCAGGCCCGCATTTTTAAGTAAAGGGGTCCTGTACATTCTGACGTATGGAGTGTCCTGTACATTCTGATCAAGTAAAACGTGTCCTGGTGGTCACTAAAGTGAACGAGAGTCTTAGGGGGGGATTAGAGAGAGTACTGAAGAGGGGGAGTCAGAGGCTGGAATGGAACCTCCATATGCAAAGGCTGTGTATGTCGGCACCCATGCTCCCTTCTAAGCGGTGGAGTCTTTTGAGCAAAAATTCTACTTTGTGAGCTACCAGCATTAAAGTTGTGAGCAGGCAGGTGATTTGGCTACTGCATACATTAGTTTGCTCTGGACTGGAGCCATCCTTCCTGAGCTAAGACAAAAACGTGTGAGCTGGAGGGTAAAAAACTGTGAACTAGCTCACACACTAACTCAGCTTAGAGGGAACACTGGTCAGAATGCCACTTGCTTGGAATTCGCAGTGGGAGCAGCTGCACCCTTTGTGTGATGTGCTTCTCAAAAACATCTGGCTATTCTGTTTTTGAAAGTTAATTTGCCTCAAGTGCCATTTCACAAAGAGTTTATAAAACAGGACAAAAGGGAATTAGATAAGCATATGGAGCAGAGGTCCATCAGTGGCTATTAGCCACAAGGTATAGATAGGGACTCTGGGGCAAGGGGTGCTCTGTCTTCTTGGTGCTTGGGGGGGGGTCAACAGTGGGAGGGATTCTAATGTCCTGGCCCCACTGGTGGACCTCCTGATGGCACCTGGTATTTTTGGCCACTGTGTGACAGAGTGTTGGACTGGATGGGCCTTTGGCCTGATCCAGCGTTGGCGTCTCTTATGTTCTTATGATAGCTCCTGTCTTTCCCTCAAGTTCCTGTATTGGGTCAAAAGCCTAAACCAATATCTAAACAAAGGGTGGGACAGTTTCAGGTTTATATCATTAGATATACATGCTACTGTAGGGCAACTCAGTCACTGAGAGGAACTGAAGTTTTGGCGGGAAAAATCTGCCAGACAGTTGGGGAGATACAGGGGTCAAAATAATTTTAAGAAATCATCTGGTTGGCCACTGTAGAAAATGGAATGCTGAACTAGGTGGGTGCCAAGACCGTCGTTTGCCTAGTGCTCCCAACAGCTTTGGGCCATGATCCCTGGATGGGCTACCGTATCAAGTATATTTGGGCTTGCGGGTCACTCTATCGAAAAGGTTGGGAACGGCTGACGTAGAAGACAGTCTGAGAGAAGTGCCAACAGATGAGTTCTTCAAATCCAGTTTTTCCGACTGTCCAGTTTGGTAACCCTGTTCCTCTCCTGCATATTTTGTTTTCTGTTGCTGCCTTTTATTTGGGTCGAATCCATACAGTCATGATGAGCACACACAAAGTATTACGTCTGGAAAATTCGTATGGCGGGGACATGGTATTCCCATGTAAGCTTAAAAAAAATTAGACTCTTCAAAATGCTTCAGTTGTGAACGGAGAGAGAAGCCCTCTCTTTACATCACTAATGTAACTTATTTGCACAGGGGTCTTTGGGAGGCAGCCGTGATCAAAATCTGTTGCACGGATGGGTCTTGAGTCAGTCGGACTGCAAGCTTTTTATTGATAATCTGAGAACGCCCTGCAGCTAACTGCTGTGAGAAGGGCTCGTTCCGTGGAAAATCCAATTTGGTCTGTGGCTGAGGAAGTGTAATCTTCTTATGGCTTTCTAACATTGCATGATATTGTTGAAGCTTTTCAGAGATGCGTGGCGTTTTAGAGAACTTGCGGCGTGAACGAAATTACTTGATTCACTCTGCAGGACAGTGATCTGAAGCAATACTGGATGCCGGACAGCCAGTGCAAAGAGTGTTACGACTGTAGTGAGAAATTCACTACCTTCCGGCGAAGACACCACTGCCGGTTATGCGGACAGATCTTCTGCAGCCGATGCTGCAACCAGGAAATCCCTGGGAAATTCATGGGTTACACTGGTAAGGTGTGCGTACGTTCAGCTTTTCAGGGAGATGGGAGAGCTGTTTTTGACTGAAATACAACTTCAGACCTGAGTCTCTTCATCTGGGGTTTCCCATATGGTGCCTATAGATGCTGTGATGTCCGGTGACACTTTTCCTGGTGTCCATCAAGGGTTTTTAGAAAGTGGGCGGGGCCAGATGGGGCTTCTGATTGGCCATTGCAGACTTGATTGGCTGTGTGGATTTTTAAAAACGTTGCTTTGGCAGTAGCTGCCACTACAGCACAAAGATCTCCACTGTGTGATTGAAGGTAAGCTGCAGCAGCCATTTTGTGGTTAGCTCCGCCTCCTGTGGTAGCCATTTTGTGGCTGCGTCCACCATGCTGTGTCAGAATTCCGAAAGTGCCCGCAGCCTCAAAAAGGTTGGAGACTCCTGCTCTTCATTCTAGAAATGAAAACTGTACTGAAACTTCTCTACTGGGTCCATGCAAAGTAAAGGGCATTTTTGGTTCAGTAACTGAATTGTGCAAATGTTTATATTCCTGCTTCACTGTCATTAGCTTTGAAAGAGCATAGCTTCTTTTCTTTCACGCTTTGTCTTTAACATGTACATAATTTAGCTTTTTTCATTGGCTCTTGGGCTGTGTCCGTAAAATGGAGTTGATGTTTTTGTGTAAAAACTACTCAAGAAGTCTTGTTTTCAGAACTTTGCCTTGACTCAGCAGGACCCAAAACGGTCCACGTTCTTTCACCCGTTTCTTTCCTCCCCCCAGGTGACCTCAGAGCTTGCACTTACTGTCGTAAAATAGCCTTAAGCTACGCTCACTCCACAGACAGCAACTCCATCGGGGAAGACCTGAGCGCACTGTCTGATTCTCCCAGTTGTGTGTCGGTGCTGGATCCTGGGGAGCCACGGACTCCAGTCACTAGCAGGAAGGCGAGTCGCAACATCTTTCTGGAAGAAGACCTTACCTGGCAAAGGTACTATAACGAACCCTGTCTCTTCCCCACTCCCAGGCAGATTTTCCTGCCAAAACTTTAGTTCCCCTCAGTGACTGAGTCACCCCTAGGTAGCGTGTATGTCTTCTTTCGCTTAAGGACTTAAACTGTCCCACACAATTGTTTAGGCCTTTGACCAGCACAGGATCTTGAGGGAAAATACAGGAGCTGTTTTGTCTTACTTTTAAACCCTTTTTGTAATGGCATTTGAGGCAGAGTAACTTTCAAAACAGAATAAAGATTTTATTTAACAGGCAGGGAATGTGTGTGTGTGTAGGAGATATCAAGGTTTAGAAATGCTGAGGTAAAACTTTATAGTATATACAGACTTGAGAACTTAGAATATATAAGAGAGTGTGGTTGTAGCTTAATTTCAGAGTCTTCTAGTTCTTTTCAGTGAGTGATACTTGGCTTAGTATGTTATAGTAAAAACACAGCTTCTTAATAGAGTTTCCTGGAGAATAGCTCTATCTTAGAGTTTCTAGATTTCTCCCTTTGAAATCTGGTTTCTTCCTTCAGAAATTACAGCTTTCTGTTAACTCCTGAGGTATCCACAGCTTATTCTCTCTACTACAGACCCTGGGTTCTCCTCGGAGCACAACCTCTTTTTCTGGCAGGAATTATTCTTCGTTTCCCTAAGAAGCAATAACCTTTTTCTACTTGGCTTGATTGGGGCATTTCAGCCTAAATGCTCAGTCACCCTTGCAAAATCTGTCTTCCAGTACTTTTGTCTGTGTAAAGCAATTTGTAGCTTTCTAGACCTCGAATCTCAGTTCTCCCTCAGAGTAAGTCTAATACTGTTAGGGCAAAGGAGTCTTTTTTCTCTCTGTATAAGAAACTTTGTGGCTAAACCTGTCAGAACACTGACTCCTGTTATAGATGAAAACCTAAAGATGTCTCTTTGGTGACTAACAGCTGAACTCTTCTTCCTCCTGAATAGCTGATGTTATACTTTCTCTCAGCATCAGTGCTGGCCAGTCAGAGAATGTGTAGAGCAGCTTATCAAATAAACTCTCCAATCCAGGGAAGATTAACTCCTAATCTCCCAGCTTCTCTGAAACAAGCAGCATTTTAAAACCTGCTTTTCTGTGCAATCCGTCACAGGGACCAAGGAGCTTTCGTCATTTTGGGGCTGTAAATCCACAAAGAGCCTGCTTCAGTTTTGAAGGCTCAAGTCCGTCTATAAGGCCGCATGATTCTTCTTTCTCATGTGCTATCTGAAAAAAGTTTATCAAGTATATCAGAAATTGCACTAGCCACTTTTATCATTTGCTGAGTGGGATGCAAGAATCCAGTACTGTGACTGCTGTGTTGCCATTTATGTCCTTTCAAAAGTCCTCCGTAAACTACTGGGTTTTTTTTTTTTGATGAAGTGGGTTCTTTTCTACCACATCCCACATAATACTTTTGTATTAGGACCAACCAAATGGTGTGTGCCCTGACTTGGATGGCCCAGGCTAGAGTGCTTTTGTCAGATCTCGGAAACTAAGCAGTAGGGATGGGCACAGACCCAAATTTGAGCCAAAGTCCGGGCTGGACTTTGCCCAGTTCAGGGTTTGTTAGCTGAGGTTTGGGGAAGGCGCCTTCCCCCGAACACTCACTGAGCTTTTCAGCTCGGTTCGGCTTGTGTGTGTGGTCCAATGCATGCATGCATGCCACTTCTGGATGGCATCAAGCCCCATCCCTGGTGCACCCACCTCATCTGGAAGTAATGCAAGCGCATCATGACATGCTTGCATCATTCCAGGTAATGTGGGAGCGCCAGGGGTGGGGCCTGACACCACCTGGAAGTGGGACCAAGGAGCTTTCGTCATTTTGGGGCTGTAAATCCACAAAGAGCCTGCTTCAGTTTTGAAGGCTCAAGTCCGTCTATAAGGCCGCATGATTCTTCTTTCTCATGTGCTATCTGAAAAAAGTTTATCAAGTATATCAGAAATTGCACTGGCCACTTTTATCATTTGCTGAGTGGGATGCAAGAATCCAGTACTGTGACTGCTGTGTTGCCATTTATGTCCTTTCAAAAGTCCTCCGTAAACTACTGGGTTTTTTTTTTTTGATGAAGTGGGTTCTTTCCTACCACATCCCACATAATACTTTTGTATTAGGACCAACCAAATGGTGTGTGCCCTGACTTGGATGGCCCAGGCTAGAGTGCTTTTGTCAGATCTCGGAAACTAAGCAGTAGGGATGGGCACAGACCCAAATTTGAGCCAAAGTCCGGGCTGGACTTTGCCCAGTTCAGGGTTTGTTAGCTGAGGTTTGGGGAAGGCGCCTTCCCCCGAACACTCACTGAGCTTTTCAGCTCGGTTCGGCTTGTGTGTGTGGTCCAATGCATGCATGCATGCCACTTCTGGATGGCATCAAGCCCCATCCCTGGTGCACCCACCTCATCTGGAAGTAATGCAAGCGCATCATGACATGCTTGCATCATTCCAGGTAATGTGGGAGCGCCAGGGGTGGGGCCTGACACCACCTGGAAGTGATGCAAGCATGTTGGGGCTGACATGCTTGCGTCACTTCCAGATGACATAGGTGCACTCAGGGTGGAGGCCCGATGCAACACGAATCAGTTCAGTTCGGGTAGCGTTTTTGCTCGGGGGTTCAGGGTTTGGTTTGGGGCTACCTGGTTTGTGAGTCCCGGACTGCACTGGGCTTTCCCGGTCTGTGCCCATCCCTACTAAGCAGGGTTGGCCCTGGTTCGTACTTGGATTGGAAACTACTAGGGAAGTCCACGGTCACTTTGAAGAGAGCTCTTTTTCTACAAAACGACCCTGGCCAAAGGTATAAACCCCCACCCCTCCCCAGAAATATTTCCTGCAGGCCTTTCTTAAAACATTTGGTGCAGAATGTCTGCCCAACCATGAAGTGTGTTTTGCACATGAAAGCTTATGCCTTTGGAAACTACTAGGGAAGTCCACGGTCACTTTGAAGAGGCAGGCTGTGAGAAGATGGCACTTTCCACTACCACAAAATGACACGGAAGAGTGTGTGAGCTCATGTGTTATTTGGTCGATCCTAATAAAAAGTTCTCAGTGGATTGTGTTCTGGGGTTTTTTGGATTTTATTTTTGGATCAGCACAGCTGCTAACAACCTCTTCCTATCTTCGTAGCCTTAGGATGGCTGTTCTGTAATATGGGGGAAGGGGGGATTGGGCAGTGACCATTCCCACCTGCCTACCCTACAGCTTCCTACTGAGAGAGATGGCTCCACTATGAACCCATAAGGCAAATTCTCCATGTTTAACTATTGGGTGCGGGGCACAATGAAAAGGGTTTTTTTCCCTGTGTCCCAATCCTCTCTCCTCCCTCCCCCCACCTGGCTGTCTTGGTAGTGCCATAAACACTGTCCTCGTAATGGTGGAACGTGCTGTCCAGTCGCAGCCGACTGACGGCCACCCCTTATGGGGCTTTCAAAGCAAGAGACGTTCAGAGGTGGTTTGCCATTGCCTGCCTCCGCATAACGACCCTGGTCTTCCTTGTCCTTATAGTCTCCCATCCCAATACTGCCCAAGGCCAACGCTGCTTAGCTTCTGAGATCAGATGAGATCGGGGTGGTCTGGGCCATCCAGGTCAATGCACACTGCCCTCAGAGTGGTAAGGGCCACTCCTGTATGCATGTCTTTATCGCTTTGCCCTGCTCCTTGAAAATGGGTCTCAGATGAGGTACCATAATAGACCCTCCCTGCTTGCCACCCTGCTCACTCAGTGTCCCTTCCCTGTGTTCGTGCTGCAGGAATAGCATCGTGTTTCCTGGCAGCTCCCTTTGGCCAGCTCCCTCTGCCCAACCGTGAAGTGTGTTATGCACATGAAAGCTTATGCCTTGAATAAAACTTTGTTGGTCTCACAAAGTGTCACTTGATTTCAACTTTGTCCTGCTGTTTCTGACCAACATGGCTACCTACCTGAATCTGCCCAGCCATGGTTTTTGCTGTGGTCTAGGTCTGCCACAGTTAGCAGCTGTAGATGGGCTCTCTCTGTGTGTGTGTGTGAACCCTTCATTTGCCTAAAAGAGAAAGTTCTTAGCCCCTCACAGTTGTAAAAAGAAAGGCTGGTGATTCCTTGAAGGCTTTTCTTGGCTTGCCTCTAAAAAGAAAAGCCCAGCTTTGGTAGCTCGTAGAGTAAACTCCAAAACAGTTTTCCGAGGAAAAGCCTTGGCTTTAGACTGGGGGATTGTTTAAGGTTTTTCAATTGGGTTTTAGACTGGGGAATTTTTATTATTTTTTTGTATTTTTCATATGTGCGTGTGTGTGTCTGTGGGTGCACCTGGACGTCATGGCAACCTCTGGTGACTGACCCCTGCTGGGGGCCTGGAGGATATTCAGAGAGGTGGCTGAATAAAGCCTGCCCCTGTCCTCCCGACTGCTGGCATTCCTTGGAGGTCTCCCATCCAAGTACTTGCCGGAGTCAACCCGGCTTAGCTTCCAAGATCTGACGAGATTGTGCTTACCTGGGCTATCCAGGTCAGGACAACTGGGGAATTATTTAAGAGATATCTACTTCCTCCTGTACCAGATGTAGTATACCTCCTTAAATCAGTTGCTGGGGAGCACGAGCAAGATGATGCTGTTGCAGTCTTCCTGTTTGTGGGCTTCCTCAAGGTAGCTGATTGGCCACTGTGAGAGACAGGGTGCTGGACTAGATGGCCCTTTGGTTTGATCCAGCAGGGTGCTTCTTATGTGCCTGATTACTCCCAGAGTCAGGGAGGTTCGGCTTTCTGGGGGACTGAGCTGAGTTTGCACTCTCAGCAGCCTTATTTTGTGTTACTTGGCCTCTTCGCTGTTAGATTCAAATGCCGATCGTCTCTTGTAGTGCGCTCACTGATTGCCCGACGTTATCATATTTTGTAATTTGTTTACTGATTGCCTGGAAAGGGTTTTGATCATACTTGTGATCCGCCTTGGGTCCCAGTGAGAAAGTGGACTAATAATAATAATAATGATATGAGATCTATGTAACAATGAGAGCAGTGGACGGGCTCGGACTAACTATTGGACAGTGATACCCAACTGTGGGCTGCTGGAAGCCGCCACTACAACAACTTAAGATCTTGACAATGGAAGCACTTTATTGTTAAATGTAATGTGTTGATTATAATTTTTATGGTTTTATTGGATTTTATGTATGGGCTTATACCCCTTGTAAGCCGCCCTGAGCCCGCTTGCGGGGAGGGCGGGGTAAAAATGTCTACATAAATAAATAAAAATAAATAAATGTTGTCAAGCAGACCTAGTCTGGTCTGTATGCTGCAGAGTCAGTAGCCTCAGTGGTCTCTCAATTCTTTAAAGAGATGTTTTAAAGCTCCCTCTAGTGGTTGTAAAGAGAAGGAACACTTTTTTTTCCTGGGGTATGTGTGTGGGGAAGGGGGATTGTGCTGCCCTTTCCACCCAGCTTGTCCATGGGCCGGATCCGGAATAGAAAGGAGTATCCCTGAGCATGTACAGTGTCCCTTTCCCTTGTGACTTTTTTGCACATACATGAGCAGTGGAGTTTTTATAAGGGGTACCTTTTCTCCTCACCCCTGCGAGACCCTGTTCCTAGAGATGGAAGGTACCAGAACAAGTTTGCAGTCCTGATATTGGGCCGCACCCCAGATGACTTGAATATGCAACCCTCCTTTGCTCCTTTTTAGAGTTTAACACCAGAAACACTTATAAAAACATTTCTGGCAAAGAGTAGGTCTTTATACCCAGCTTTTCTCTACCCTAAGGAGTCTCAAAGCGGCTTGTGATCACCTTTCCTTTCCTCTCCCCACAACCTACCCTGTGGGGTAGGTGGGGCTGAGAGAGTCCTGAGAGAACTGTGACTGGCCCAAGGTCATGCAGTAGGCCTCATGTGTCGTAAAGCAGCTTACAATCACCTTCCCTTCTCCTCCCCACAACAGGCCCCTTGTGAGGCAGGTGGGGCTGAGAGAGTTCTGAGAGAATGGTGACTAGCCCAAGGTCACCCAGCAGGCCTCATGTGTCTCAAAGCGGCTGACAATCGCCTTCCCTTCCTCTCCTCACAACAGGCACCTTGTGAGGCGGGTGGGGCTGAGAGAGTTCTGAGAGAACCGTGACTGGCCCAAGGTCACCCAGGAGGTCTCATGTGGAGGATGAATGGGGACTCAAACCTGGTTCTCCAGATTAGAGTCCACCGCTCTTAACCACTTCCCCCTTCTGGCTGTCTGTGCAATCCTGGCCATGAAAATTCCTATCCATGTGGTGTTGTTTTTTGGGGGGTGGGGGAATACTAAAAAAAACCCAGCTTCTGTATCTTCTGGAGACTGGTGATGGTTGGGCTTTGCACGTTAACGGAAAAACCTTGGCAGGAAGAGGAGATTCTTGTGGAACATCTGACAACTTTAAATATTAGAGAGGGTTACTTAGCAGAGTTAAGGATAATCACATAAATTCTTTGAATAACAAGGGCAAAAGCGTTTATTTTAGCAAGACCGCCGTGACTGTTGTGTGATGGTGGCCTGCCTTTGAATGTTGAAATGGGGCACAAATGATTGCCAAATGTCGTTTCACTTCCTTGCAGCTTGATCCACACAGAATCATCCCCCACCCCTTTGTCGACGCGCCTTGGAATCGTTCAAGAGGACGCGGGGAAGTCTCCTGCTCGGAACAGGTAAGCCGGCCTGATTCACGCAAGTGGCATGCTGTTGTCCCCGTTTGTTTTCATGAATGCAAAGTGTGATTCCTGC